TATATATATATATATATATATATATAAAACTCCAGTAATATAGAAATATGTACAGTATAAAGTGAAAGTTTATATCCACTCACGTTTCTTTTATAAATCTCCACTGATGTATATTGCAGACTTATTTTTTTGCATTTACATATGTGGGTATATGAATGTGTATGTGATCATACATAAACATAAAGGCAATTTCTTTTGGTTCAATCTAATATGACAAATATTGTTCTATTACTTCTTTCGCTCATTATATCTTCAAGATCTATTTTGCTACAAATAGACCTACCACATGACAGCATTCTTAAAGGGAGAAAATGCCAGTTTTCTCCCTCCTTACTAATACCACTCTTCAATTTTTATCTTTCTTCTTGAAGGCAGCAGAGAAGGTTGGATATCCAGTAATGATCAAAGCCTCAGAAGGAGGAGGAGGGAAGGGAATTAGAAAAGTCAACAGTGCAGATGACTTCCCTAACCTCTTCAGACAGGTAGAGTACAAGTTGTCTTTGTTTGTTTGAATTAACATGTGTATCCGTGATACATGATTTAACACTATAATTTGGATGTCCAGAAAACAGAGTCATGCTCTCTTACATATGAGTAAAAGTCCTTACTTTCTTACATAGCTCTTCCCTATATGGTGGCTTATAGGACCCTTAGTGACAAGGAAAAGCCAATGCCTTTCTATATTTTTGTGCCCCTCTTCTGCTGGCATTATATTAATAGATAAAGTAGGTATAGTTAACTCCTGATCTGGATGCTTTTAGCTTCGCCAGGCCCAGACTCCTTGATTGACTTTACCTCACTTCAGTTCAAATTGGCTGCAGGCTCCTGAGTTTCTGCCATGGGTTTCATCTACTCTGCTGGCCCAGCAACTACACCCTAACCTGTGCTGTACGGCCACCATACCCTGGCACAGGAACCCTATGGCAGGCCCCCATGCTGTGAAAACTCAGAGTGGCTCAGGAAAGCTAAACGTAAGGTCTTTCTCTGCCTACCCATCTTACTTGCTGCCAAGTTGATGTAGCCACACTACAGGTTGTTTGTGGAGGCCAAAGAAGTGATCTTTTTTCAGAATCTTAGAGAACTGGAAATAGGAGTCTCTTTTTCCTTGCCCTTAGAGTTCCCCTCACATATTTGACTCATTCTTTTTTCTCCTACCAATACCCAGAAAAAGATGAGTCAGAAAAAGGAAAATTGGGATATATTCTGGCCTTTTCACTCTCCAAGCTTTACACTTTTTCTTATTTTACCCAGCATCTTTTAGTTCGTACAATCCTTTACTAGTACCCCAGTCACCTTTTATATGCCCTCGTGTGTGTGTGTATGTGTGTGTGTGTGTGTGTATGTGTGTGTGTGTGTGTGTGTGTGTGTGTAAATCAGTCAGCATCAAACTCCTTGCTCCATCATCATGGGCTAAAGAGAAAATGTCTACTGGGTCTTCCATGATTTGATATACTAGGTAAAGAAAGTGAGAAAGGTATTGTTTTGCTACATTATTCTACTTTTAATGTCAGAATTTGAATATTACCTGGTATTTTTTGGGTTTTTTTACATTACTTCTATAATAGTTCTAATTTCATAGGTATTTCAGTGCCTTGTGGGGTCTAAAGAAAAGGCCTTTTGCTCTTAGGAGCAAAATAAAAAGCATGTTAANAAAAAAAAAGCAACAAATTTAGCCATTTTACAGTTATACACAAGGAAATATCCAGAGAAAAACTTTTAAATTTATAGGAAGCATCCTGTTGAGAATTAATAAACGCCTTTATATGTGTTATAACAACAAGGAAAGGAAAGATAGAATGCAATTAGTCAAAATAACGTAAACATAATACAAACAGGAAGTTTGTTAGGGTTTTTCAGAGATTATTTATTCTATCCATTTCACCTTCAGACCTTCCCAAGTCAGGAAAAGATGCCAATTTCCAATGGAATATTGTTAGCCCAGAATATGGTGGCTTACAAGCAGGTCATTCTTTCCTATCGCTTGTGTTAACGAAGTTTAGGGTAAATGTCTTAAAGCCCAGGGAGAACAAAGCTTGAGATTGGTATGGCAGTATAACCACCAAATATAAAGGTGGAGTTGGGTGGCCAGAGTAACTGAATCTGTGAAAGAAAACCAGTATTTCTAGAAAAGGCTCTATAGAGTCTAGTGGAAAGGCTGTGAATTGAGTTTCCTGAAGAGCAACAAGACTAAGCTGGATCTTCCTATCAATTTCAACTTAGTTTTGATCTCTTCACAGGTTTTGTCACAATGGACTACTGCATATTGTTCTATAAAAAGTTTGCCAAGAATCAAGCATAGAAGCTAAATTAAGTATTATATTAGGCTGCTATTGTACCTCATGGAGTAGGGCCAGTCTTGGTAGAGAATAATACAGTTTATCATGTATTTTTTTAATATGAATGTTATGAATGAACCATATTGTGTTTCCTTACAGGCAGTGTGGGCTGGCTGGGGTCATGCTTCTGAGAATCCTAAGCTCCCAGAACTTCTTTTGAAAAATGGCATCGCTTTCATGGGTAAGCCTTTCTGACGTACTGTTCTTGTCTTTTTCTTTCCGTCAGTTTTGGCCATACTCCACTCTACATCCTGCTTTTCTTTTGTTTAATGTTCTCTTATTTTGCATCAATCAGTAACTTTCAGAGTAAGCCCCTTTCCTGGCATGGAGCTGGGATAGAATGGGGACAGAGGGTAGAGCCTGGAGGGTTTATAGACTGGCCAAACAGGAAAGGTTAGATACAGAAGTGTACTAGATGCTTGAAAAGGGTTTATCTGGATTGCTGGAGAGAATAGGTTTTTGAAAAACACTTTAAGGAGTCTTTCAAAGTCTTTCCCTCCTTACATTTCTTTCTTTCTTTCTTTCTTTTTTGCTCAGTATTACCCTTCAAATTTATCACCTGATGTCTTTCTCTTCCTATTCTTGGAATGATTGTAGCAGAGCAAGTACAGTGTGTAGGAACTATACTATTTAATAAGTAATATATATATATATATATATATATATAAAATTTCATTTAACACTCAACCTTCCTATGACGATAAAATCAGAGTTATATTTGTCAGGAATT